TACTTGTAAAAATTTACGACAAAATTAATAATCAGATGGAATGCAAATGAGTCAGCGGGTCTTATTAATGCCTCTATGTGGTTCGAAGGCTATCACTAAATCAAGTGTTCGAAAAAATGTTGTACAGAGTACGAAACAATAATGAAACATAGAGTGTTGTCAATAAAGAACACATGCTCAACTTTTGACCAGTGTATTCTGAAGATCTTTTCCATGCAAGATCCTTAGAATAGACAGCGACTTGTATAAATCAGTTTTGACTATTGCCTTATCAATTAGCGAGTTGCAATCATCACATCATAGAAATATAATGAAGAAAACAAAGAAAAAGAATGGCAATTTTTTTCCAGTAATGAAAGTAAAAATAGATAGTTGCCGATCGCTATGTGTCAAATGTGATCATTCCAACCACTCGAAGTTATTTTCTGTCAGAAAAAAACTTCTGGATCAGTATAACTTTCATGCAGAACTTCTTACAGTTGCTTTTCATGAAATATGATATGTATCAATAACGATCGAAACCACATTTTGTCTGAACTTCACTTAAATTTCAATTTAATCTTTATCGAGAAATTTTCTTCACCGTAGATGTTAGAAAATACAACGTTCCGAAAGTTAACACAGAAGACTATATGCCTAAGTGTTGAATAATTCAAATAAAAAGAACATGAGCTTGCTAGAGTTTCATTTGATGTTGCTTAAAGTTTTGTTTACTATAATGCCATCTATGCTAGGCATCTTAAATAATTGTATTGAACTGAATTATACAAGTTTACACTTCTCTCAGCGTCTAAAAGCAAAAGGTACAGTGTTTCTTTCGGAATCATCTTCTTTTCTTTACTTATTATTAATTCTATTTCTATCAGACCTTAAATAGAAATCTTACTTACATGGTTTTTTCATGTTGTTGTAAAGATATTGTACTATTAATAAATCATTATTCAAACACTAATAACAAAAATCTGATAGGAATATTGAGTAAAAATAAAACTAATAACGTTTATTATCATATTCAATAATTTTTCATAAAAAAATGAATAAAACAAAAAGCTGTCTATTGATAATGTGTTACATACTTGTAGCCTTTGCAAGTTTCAAAAGAAAATATTTTTTATTAGTTCTAGATTTATATAGTGTCTTTCAAACAAAAATAATATTAACAGACAATATACCGGGTGTACCAAAAGTTTTGCGACATTTTTAATTTCACATATAGCTTGACTGGACAAAATGATAAAACGTTGGTTTATTTTTTAAAAGATGCGCCGTGAAAAGTTCTACAAAATTGTATAAAAAAATTCCTATTGACTTGTTCTGATCGTTCTTCCCATACTGAAAATGAAAAAGCAACATGGTAGTGCTTTGTCCCACTGCACTGAGTATAACAAAAGTGTTTGGAAGACTTTTTTGTTTGATTTGGGAAAATGATAAAATCTTGATTTTTCTTGTAAAAGATACTCCGTGAAAAACTCTACATAAACTGTATGAACAAATCCATATAGACTTGCTATGATGATTTTTCTAGATCATTAACAGTGAAGATCTGCGTGATGTTGCTACCGAGTGTCCATAGGCGGCGGAACGATTTCACTCTAGGGTAGGCTCAACTTTTCAGACAAACCAGGTCTGTCCACGTAAAAAAATAAAGTTGAAATCAGATTAAAATCGGGTAATAGCCGATAAAAAATAGATTGTCATCCTACGATTTTGATCAATTTTTAATCATTTTTTAACTGATTTTTATTGAAAATAACCGAAAAAATTAAAATTTCATTGACTATTACGATTCGTTCTCGCTAAAACGTTATAAAACAATTAATAAGATTGATGCAAACCGGTAAAATTCGCGTGAAGACTTTTTCATTTATCAAAAAGAAAAATCTTTGTTTTTATGAAACTTTTATCGATTTTAAATGGAACTAATCGTAATAATCAATGAAATTTGGCTTTTTTTCGGTTATTTTCAATTAATATCAGGTAAAAAATGATTTAAAATTTATTCAAGTCGTATGATTATAATCGATTTTAATCTTATTTCAACTCGAATATATTTACATGGATGGGAGCAATTCGAAAAATAGTCTTCTTTATTTGTTTATAATGTTGAGCGTTATAGGTTTTTGTTGATAGATTTTAATTCCTTATAAGTGTGATAACTATATAATGCGTTATTGTTTCCAGACACAACAGATACTAACGAAGTAACTTAAAAAGACTGTTTAAAAAGCAGTAAAAGAGAAGTCTAAGAAGAAATAATGTTATTCAACACCAAAATATTTTTTCTATCTTGATTCTTTGAAAGGAAATCAGAATAGATGCTTGATCAAGTTGATGTCAAGGTTTTATAGTTTTAACAATGACATTTTTGCATATAATCCTGTTTCACCTTAACTATCGTTTGAACTAATCGATACAAGTTCAACAGAAGATGAATTTTCATCAAAACTGTTATTAGGCGTTTGTTGTTTTATTGTGAAAGAAAGACATAATCTGATTTTATTTAGCTGGTATCGGCATACGAAAGGAGTAATGTTATTCAAGTGCCTAAAATTCAAATGTTATTTTAAATAGAAATCTACAAAAGACAATTCATCCGTCTTATATTAAGAACCAAGAATCCGATGACGATATAGATGCCAAAGAAGACTAATCACTACCTTACTGGTTGCGAGTTAGCAGCAGAAAAATATGGACTCCTTGTAAAAATGCGTTATCTGTCAAACGAATATGAAGACTAAACAATAAGAGTAAACGTTTATATTTAACTGAGTCTATCCTAGCCTTGGTCTGTCCTAGTTTCAGACTACCGAAACCTACTCTCCATCAACGTAGGGTAGGCTTGAGTCTATTCAGGCCTAATGGCTGCGCCGTCTGTGGTTATTTTGAATAGAAGTTTAGAACAACAGTTAAATTATCTTATATTATATTGAAAATAAAGAATTCGACGTAGATATAGACGTCAACAAAAACCAATCAGTATGCCACTGAACACGAGTTTGTAATAGATAAAATGTGACTGACCTTGTAGTAACGCGTCATCTGTCAGGAGAACACGAAAATTAATAATATTAGAAAATTTTTACATTAAATTGCGCCTAGTCAAACCTTTACCTGTACTGGTTCGAGCCTACCCAAGCCTTTATCTGAGCCTACCCAAGCCTTTACCTGTACTGGTTCGAGCCTACCCAAGCCTTTACCTCTCCAACCTAGGGTAGGCTCGTGCCTACCCAGGCCTCGTGGCTCCGCCGCCTATGCGAGTGTCCCAAAATGTTTACACCATTTTTAATTTCGCATATATCTCGGCTTGAGAAAATGATAAAATCTTGATTTTTCTTTTAAAAGATGCGTCGTGCAAAGCTCTACAAAAACTGTTCAAACAATCCCTAGCGACTTGTTCGGATGGTTTTCCTCAAGCTCAAAATGAAAAACTACATGATAGTGCTACTTTCTACCATATTGGTCCTGTTTGGAAGACTTTTTGTTCTGGATATATCTCGGCCTGAGAAAATGATAAAATCTTGATTTTTCTTGTAAAAGATGCGCCGTCAAAAGCTCTACAAAAGCGGTATGAACAAATCCCTATTGCAAAACAAAAAGGTCTTGCAAAGACTTTTTATTACCCTTAATACAGTGAGAAGTAGCACTAACAATTAGCTTTTTCATTTTGAGCATGGGAAAAACCATCAGAACAAGTCAACAGAGATTTGTTTACATAATTTTTGTAGAGCTTTTCACAGCACATCTTTTAAAAGAAAAAACAAGATTTTATCATTTTCTCAAGCCGAGATATATACAAAACAAAAAAGGTCTTTGAAACATTTTTATTACGGTGGGACAAAACACTATCATGTTGCTTTTTCATTTTGAGTATGGGAAGAACGATCAGAACAAGTCAATAGAAATATGTTTATATATTTTTTGTAGAAATTTTCATGGCGCATCTTTTAAAAAATAAACCAAGGTTTTACCATTTTGCCACGTCGAGATATATGCGAAATTAGAAATGTCGCAAAACTTTTGGCACACCCGGTATTCTGTTGTTTCAATAATTATAATTGTCAGTACTTTAGTAAGAATACAAATGGTGAGACCGTTGAATATACAAAAAAACCGGCGGTCAAGACCGTTGGATTAGAACTAATCGCTTCTCTTGTTCGAAAGATGTCTAAATAAGAACAAAAATCGGTCATCAATGTAAGTTTCTAACTCGTTCATCAGCTTTACCGATCTTTAACGGTGAAGCTACAAAGTTCTTCCCTAAACCTTAATAAAATTTATTCAAAGTAAGATAACACTATTGATAGTTAAAATTAATAGTGAATAAATTTAGGTATTATTAAATCGATTTAATAAGAATGAAATTTTGCTTTCGTTATTTTTCATTTTCTTCGTTCTTCGTCTACCGCTGTACTCATGCATCAGGTATGGCATTTTTTCTTGCTCTTCATGAAGAATTGACGCCATTTTTCTTTCATCGTATTGTGCAAGACGAGATAAATTGTTTGTTACGATCAAGGTTACTCATGAATTGCAACTCATTGATGTAAGATTTGATGAAAATAAGAAAAATGTTACAGTTGAATGAACGATATTGAAATGATGGTGAAAGGATGAAATCCTATCAGGTGGCTAGCTGTGATCATCAAAAGATATAAGCTGGAAGAAGTGGAATCATTATTATTACAAAAATCACTTGCTATATATATTACACAAAAGGATCATGATAGATCTAGGACATGCTTAGAAAACAAAGAGAAGATGACGAAAGGTTCAGGAAATTAGGAGGAGGAAAGAGAATGAAGGTGTCACGAATAATGATGTTACAGAATGATGCAATAAGATGAAAGCATCATGGGGTAAATCATATTTACCCAATGACCACGATAATCATACATAAGTAACGAAAAACAGACAAGGAAAGTTCCGTAGCAATGTAGAAATTTTTCTATTGTTCGGATATATAAGCGACTAGAGAGCTGCTCCTTTTTGCGACAATCAATATGGAGAATCAAACATTAAAGACAATCAAAGCTGGCTCCATATGCACAGTTGAAAATGGAAATGGCAAATTTGGTATTGTAAAAGTACTTGTTATCGATGATAAACAAATTCATGTGACGATATACAAAAATAAATATGATCTACGACCATCTCAAATAGACCTGTCAACATTAAGCTGTGGCTCTTTATATGATGCAGACGAAGAAATTGGTGTTGGTCATGCTCCGCTATTTAGAGAAGGATTTAACAATTGGAAACCAATAGTTATAGATTATGAAGAGGTTACATCAGATAATCTTGATGGCTATGAAATATGGAAAAATGATCCACGCGCAGGGCTGTGGCCGGTATCCTGTACACTATGTGACCTCGCTGAAGCATGTAGAATTGCTCGTAAACGTAGTACTACCAGCCGCGATTTTTTTTGTCCGTTCTGTTGAGGAGTATACATGAATAAGAAAAGGTTGGTAACACGAGGATTAATAATCAAGTCAACAAGTAAACTCAATATCAAACACATCATTTTAAACTGTAACCCAGAAATATTGTCGTTTCGTTGCATTGAGTTATTTTGACTAAAAACAGCCAACATACAGCGAAATCTGTTGTGCAAATAAATCTAACGATGAAAATAAATTTAATTCTTGAGGGTGTGGGCGTGGGTGTGGGTGTGGGGGTGAGGGTGTGGGTGTGGGTGGGTGTGGCTGTGGGTGTGTGGGTGTGGATGTGGGTGTGGGTATGTGTATGGGTGTGAGGGTGTGGGTATGGGTATGAATGTGGGTGTGGGTGTGGACGTAGATGAAGAGTTATCACACCCACACCCACACCCCACCCACACCCACCCACACCCACACCCACACCCACCCCACCCACACCCACACTCACACCCACCCATACCCCACCCACACCCACACCCACCCCACACCCACACCCACACCTCACACCCACACCCACACCCACACCCACCCTACAAAAGAAACAAGGTAATATTTATATGTATTTAGATTACAGTGAATTAGTTAAATCAGGTACAATAATATAATGAAGTAGGAAAAAAAATTTCTAAAAGAAACAAGACTACATTTATAAGTGTAAGTATGACGAAGTAGACATTACAATACAGGTGTAAATATATCGTCCTACTGAGAATATAGGCGCAAAAATCTATGTCTACGAATGTAGATCTGTGAATATAGATATAAAGATATTGCTGTAAGAATACAGACATAATACTATACAAATTAGGTTATATATTTTATGCTGTAAGTTTACATGTGTATGTCTAAAGACGTAGTTTTACTGAATAAAATCTAGTGTTAATGATCGAAAATTATAGTGATGGTTATGCAATTGATCTCTCATTGGTTTAATTTTATTTTTTGAGTTTTGGTAGATTCATTGATCGAAAATCAGAATTTTTGCAAATCACTTTCATTTAATTGAATAAGCATAAAACGAATTATTCATAGATAAGAAAACATTTGATTTGAAAAATAGATGAAGTTTTCTTGTTGATATCAACATCAAAAAGAATTTAGTAAAATAAAAATTTGAATTTTCTCAGTAACGATTATTTCTTTCTATTGATAAATTATAGAAAAACTACTGAACATGTTCAAACATTTTCTACGTCAATTATTCTCATCTCAATGTCAATTAAATTCTCTTCAACTTAATATTGATAATTATGATATAGATCAGTGTATAAAACTATTCTCTCATTCATATCAAAATCGAATTTCAAATCAATTTCAGTCTTACTGCACGACACTTTCTCGTTTATCTATTCACATAAAATAGACATATTTTCTTGAACAGCTGTCAGTAGAATTTAGCAAAACATTAAATATTCAACTGCGGTTTGTATCATTAAGCGAAAAATTGTGTCAATCAAATGGAAATTGATATAATAAAGTAAGAAAAAATTATTATTGTCTCGTTCTTTGGATAAAAAGTCTGGGTGAAAGATGAACTATCATGTGTCACTAGTTTTCTAATGAGATGTTTATTTCATTGATTATTTTATTGTAGAGCGTTTGTTTTTGAAGTTAAAAATATTCGATTACAGTTTATTCCCTTTAAGTATTAAAAATAAAGTTAGAAGTATTTTGAAAATTTCCTATTTAACTACTTATTTGAATTGTTTACGCATAGAAAATACGATTATCTTGAGTTTTCTTCGTTAGAAATAATTTTTTTAAAAACCTATTCGAACTTTTATTTGACGAGAAAATAGATTTCTTCATAAATCCTATATTTTGCTTAACCTAAACTCTTATCATAATTTAGAATTAATGAAAAAATTTATCAAAAAAAAGCGAATTTTGTCTTGATAGAATGAAAAATTTGAAGACAGGACATAGAAAATCGTTTTGAAAAAATCTCAACCAGATAAAGAGACAACAGTCATTTATTGTTCCACTCACTCTCATTTTGTATCAAGGATTATAGATAGATATGATATTTTTGGATAAGATGTTCTAGCACTAGTTGTGTAATACTACGTTTTTATTAGGATCAATTCCTTGAGAATATTTTTCAACGTATTTTCTTTAGATTTATTATCTCCTAAAGAAAAAATTAATTTTTCATGAATCTTTGGATTAAAATCGAGTTAGATACAATATATTTAAAAGTGTCAGCAGTTACTTTGTTCGATTCATCATATAGAATGTGAAAAGAATTTGGTTTTCTGAAAAATAAATTTTTTTCTGAAGCATCGTTATTGGGAATTAGTTTTGTATAAATATCGATCAAGTATCGTTCGAATATTCATGCAATTTCTTTTGTTGAATTTTTAAATCTTAACAGAATGATTGATTAGGCATGCAAAGCACATTAATATGAAATGATCAGATAAGATAAATAACTATAAAATATGATAACATGCTCAGATGATTAAAGATTCTATTGACAATTTAATTATAGGACTTGAGATTTTGTATATTGAACGAGATTACTTATTTCGATTTCTTCTTATCATATTCATTTTTGATGTGATCAATATATTGAAAAAAGTTAAATGATTTATATTTTTATTACTAAAGAACTAAACTGTATTTTTGTTTTTGATAACAGCTTTCAAATCTACGATATTTAATTTTAAAAAATTTCATTCTAAATGATTTGGAATTTGTTTATCTGAAATGGCTTCTTAATAATTTAAATCATGTTCAAAAACTGAAACTTCGTCTGGGAAACGTGATATTATAAATAATATAATAGATTTTGATTTTTATATATCTTCTCCTTGTCAATTATTACCAATTGATGTTGAAAAAGTAATTAATTCACTTCAATATCATCCTCTTTTTATTAATTGTCAATGACAAATATAAAATGTTTGTATGATCCAATAATATCATATCAACACTTGTTTTCTACAAATATTAATATCACACTTCAAAGCTTTCACGGTTTAGTGTAAGATATATGTTTTATGTGTGATTTTCTATGAGTTCTTAACCGAATACCATTTTTTCCTATTTTAGTAATGATCCGTATGTTTTTCAATGGTCAAATATTCAACATATTTCGATTGATTTTCATCCATCACTTTATATTTCTTGAGTAACTTGATGAAAAATTTTCCAATATCTCTTCGATTACAGTTTATATGGGTAAATATTTATTACTATAATTTTCTTTTTAACCTTTTCAAACTTTATACTAATTGAAGAAGTAGATATTCAATAAAATAGAGATTCTGCCAATTTCAATTGCAAGAATCAGAAATAGTTAGAAGAAAATATTGACAGAAAAAAAGTTCGTATTAAAGACATAATTAAGAATATTCTTTCAAATAATTTAACTCAACGAAGCTATTCATAGAACTAACACAGTTCGACCAGCCTAGATTCATTTGAATTAAACTGTAGCTGATCGGATTAATTCAAAAA